CATGATAGTATCTATCATGAGAAAGAGCTGTGTGGCTTTACTGGAGACCCCTGTGACCTCTGGCCTTGACCCTTCTTCATTTCCCTCACACTCATTATTTTTTAAAGGCCCTTTTGGAAGGGAGAAGAGACTCTCAGAGAGAGCATGAGACTGGTAAAAGACCCAAAGATGAAGTGGCTAAACTGGGGTTTGAACCCAGGGCTCAGGACACCCAACTGGGTGCTAGTCTCCTCTCTTCTTGCTTCACCATAACTGTGGGGAACTCCCAGGGAAACAACAGAGGAGCTAAGTCAGGCTCTCCTTGGCTCCCCCAGGAGACAATAGGCTACCCCCTCCTGTTTGGGGGGGCCCCATGGCTGATCAATGCTTTAGAGGAGCCATTTTCTTTCTAAAGGCTCACCAGCTATCAAGTTTCCTGATCTGAATGTTCCTCTGAACGTCACAGAGGCCAACAAGAACCCCATGGCCACAGAGGCCCCCAAGCACCCCTGCAGAGAACAATCCAGGGCCAGGGAGCCCACTGCTTCCAGGTCATCTTTGCCACCAGGTGGTGTCCTACTGTCCGGGGGGTGTTAAGAAGTCTGTCCCTTTTATAGCTTGTGTCTAGCTGTCCCCCTAAAGCCTCATGCAGTCAGAGGTGGGGCTTTTTCAAAGCTGGCTCAATCTAGAGACATAAGTGATGCTGGGATTGATTCATGGTGCAATGCTGGGATCAAGGGCGGTAGGATTAAGGGTGTGAGTGCTACCTGCCCTGAGTACCCTGGATAAGATATAAGGGACAGATAAAGCTGTAGTCATCCTTTATTGCTTTGCTACCTTCTGCCCACCATGAACTGTTTCTCTTTTGTGATGCCCCTCTGCTATGCCAACTATGGACTGAAACCACAAGTACAGGTCATCAACTCTACAGTGGCCATAGCCCCGGACTGATCATAGCCTCCAGATGACCAGGCTCCAGAGTGACCAGGACTGTGAAATGCACTATACCTGTTTTTCTAACCAGCTTTCCAGAAACCCCCATTTGAGAGGGCTCTGTCTGAACACCGATGGTGCCACACAGGGTGCTGCTCCCAACCTCAGCAACCCCCTCCTCTAGCCACTCTCTAAGACCCCACAGTCAGGGTTGAGGATGTGGCTCCATGGTAAAGCACATGTCTAGCACGCACAGACCCTGGGTTCAACCCCTAGCACCCCAAGAAAAAAATCATGCTGCAGTATTTAAGACCTCATATTCACCTGGGTTTTAATTCCACCTCCTAATCTCTGCAGTTTAAGTTAGGAGCAAATGCTCTGGGTCGGGACAATCAGCTTCAAATCTTAGCTCCGCTCCTCATACATTGAGGGGCCTTGGAACTTCTCTCTTGGAGCACAGATATGCTGTCCTCATCCACAGAGTCTGTGAGGAAGCTAAATTTGTGTTTGATGGCACGCAGTTCTAAGGTTGGTCATCATTCTAAGCAGCAGAAACATTTACCAAGCGCACTCTCTTGGAACTGCTAATTAACTGCGATGGGAGTTCGTACATTAGTGGAGGCACATGAAAATTCTCACTGCCTACTCTGCCATGAAATTTGCTGCTGCTCAGAGCTTCAGGGAGTGGGTTGCTGGTAAGGGCAGTTTGATCCATTTCAGCAGGCATAATAGGAGACAGCAGTGTGGTCAGAGGCCCGAACCATCGGCCAGGCACTAATCCCTTCATGCCTCATGCCTCTCCTCCAAAGCCCAGCCTCCTAGACCATCTGCCTCTCGCAGACCCTCAACCCCATGCTACTCTGCCCGGATTCTAACCTCACACAACCCAGACTCTCCCTCCTTCCCTATTCTCTCACATCCTTGGATTTCACACTATGCAGGGATGCCTGGGTGTGACCTTTGACTTCGAAGAAATCATAACCAATGGGAAACTAAGTGAATTTTTAGTATATGTGCTGCCAAAGCCAGCACCTAAGCGGATTTTTATGACCCAGAATTGTCATTGAAGTTTCAAAAACACCCTCAGACATTGAAGAAGCAGAATAAATTAACCTGTTGAAGGATGTGCATGAGTTTAATGTGGCCGACAGGACTTGGTGCTGGGCCTGGGAGGAAAGGGTGGGGAGCCTCCCTCCGACAAAAGACCAGGGCAAGGTGGAGCTGCAGAAGGAAGGTGGAGAGACCCTGCAGCATCCTATGGGCAGTGGGGAAAGATCTGGACTTTGCTATGGGTGCCATGAGAAGCCTATGGAAGGGCTTCAAGCAGAGGAGAGAGGTGCCTGGATTTGATTTAATATCCCAACCTCTGGTCACCAAGTCAGGAGCAGGGTAGGGGTAGGAGGGAGCCAGTGAAGAGGCTGGAGAACAGGTCCAAAGAGTGATGCTGGGGGGGACCAGAGGAGAGCAGAGACAGAATCGGATGAACTCGTGAGAACGTATAAGAGTTGGTTCTAACAGAGAGGAAAGAGGCGGAGACAGGGCAGCCATGAAAGGGACCGTGGCCCTCTCCCCGGGGGCTGACAGGACTCCAGCCCCACCTCTCTCTTAGCTCAGAGGCTAGAGTGTGGTGTTACCAAGAAAATCGAGAGAAACCATAACCTGCGATGGGGGAGGGGAAGGGTGGACAGTGAAGGCTGCCGGCGGTCACTCTGACATTGTGTTTACTCCCCCAAGGGGAGCTCAGGGACCACCCGCTGGTGGCTTTTCCAACCCTCTTCCTTCCCTGGATGTGCGCCCCTGTTTATTCCCTGTAGTCCTCCAGTCAGTTTCCAAATCGCCCCTGCATTTACTCATCAGTGTTTTCATAGACTTCATTATTCAAGATCTGTCTCGTGGTCGCGATCAACATAAAATGGCAGAAACCCAGTCACTTTTGTCAAGAATAGCATTCCTACTGCCACTCAGTGGATGAATGAATGAATGAACGAATGAATGAACGATGTGTGAAAGAATCAAATACTGAATCAGCTATCATTTAGCTTCCTGATAGTTTAAACCAAAGAAAACACACAAAGCGCTGGGGGAAAGTACCTTTTTAAAAGGCACCAGGAAGGAAAACTATCTTTATTTTTTGTTGTTTTTGCAGTGCTAGGGATTGAACCTGGGGCTTTTGGCATGCTAGGCAAATGCTCTGCCACTGAACTGTTCCTCAAGCCTGAAAAAAAATACCTTAATTATATGAAACAGACTTCAGCATTTCTGCATTCCCTGAAGGCTGGAAACTGGGGTCTAAAACCTCTCCCCAAACTGCCTTCTGTGCACTCCGGCTTTGCAAGTGGACACGGAGCTGTCTGATGCAGCCCTGCCTGGTTCCTGGAGGGTCCTCCGGGAAGTGTGTTGGCCAGAACTGTCAGGGGTCCCTGTCCTCAGCTCAGCTCTGCTCAGACGCAAGGGCTCTCAGGACTTATAACTAGGGTTGACCCGCGCTGTTAGTCCCTACAGCAAGCACACGTTGAGCACCTGCTGTGCGGCAACCTTGGTACTAAGCTGCTCAGAAAGTAGATTCTCATTAAATATTGTCACACCTACCTCAGAGAATAGTGTTTGTTGTTGTTGTTGCTATTATTATTATTATTATTAATTGTCCATTTTGCAGATGGAGAGGTTGAGGTTCAGAAAAGCTAAAGGCCCCAACAAGTCACCCGCCCAAGTGACAGAGATGCGATTCAAACCCACCTGGCTAACTCTAAAATTCTTACTCCTTAATGACCTCCTCATGCTGCAGTTGACATTAATGTGGCCAGGGACCCTTTGTAGAATGCTGTGCTTGTTTTTAATGCGGAAAGTCTATTGCTTCCTTCCTTGTCCCGGGGATGAGGTTTCTGACAGCCTTGGAGTGGGGTTGCCCTGAGGGGATAGCGACATGGCCAGAAGCTGGTTTTCCTTGAATGTACAGACACTGGGCTTTCTGTCTAAAAGCCAAGGATGAGCTTGAGAGGACTGCTCTGGGAGCCTCTCCGCCTACTTTCTCAGGTGCTGCTGTATCTGTGCTCCACTGGCTTGAATTCAACAGCAAGAGGTGCCTTGTGTTTTTGCAGATTCACACTCCGCCTCAGCCGCCTCCCCTACCCAGGAGAACCCATGGGGGCAGGTGCAGCATCCCTGCGGTCCCCAGTGCATCTATCTGTCTCTCCTCCCTGCCTGGGCAGGTCAAGAGGGCTCATAACTTGCCTTTTCCAGTGAAATGAGAGCTGACGCACCTCCCTCCCTAGCGGAAGCTTCTCAGTGTTGGATTCCCTGTGCTGTGTCCTCTTTCCTCTCTTAACTGCACAATTTTGGGGTCAAAGTCAGTCTATGGTGGCCCCTGCAACATGTGAGCAGAGGCAGTGATGTGGTGAGCCTTGAGATCCCGGAGCTGAATCACCGGGTTCAAACCTCAACTGTGTGACCCTGGGCATATCTCAGGCCCTCGGTTTCCCTAGCTGTGAAACTGGGGCCATCCTGGTAGGTACCCTGTGGTGCTCTCACGAGATTAAACGAGACTGTGTTCCAAGGTCACAGTCCAGGGCTCAGCAGGTGCCGAGCACTCACCAGATAGGAGCTCGAGGGAGGAAGTGGCAGAAGCCTCCTTCACCCGTCGTCTGGGACTTGGGATGTACCTGTCCACCCTCCTAGACCTCAGCAAGTCCCAGCAGGGAAACAGGAGAGGAAAGGGAGAGGGCAACTGAGAGCCGTGAAGGAGAGGGGAGCCTGGTCCCAGTAGCACACAAGAGTCAGACTCCGACAACCCCTCACAGTGTGAAGTGTGCTCGTGTTGCCCTTAGTGCCCCTGAACCCTGGTCCTCTCCATGTGTGAGGAGTGGTGGCGGGAACTGAAGCAAGAGGGGTCAGCCAAGGTGAGAGGAGAAGGAAGCCTCTGAGAACTGAATGAAAGCCCTCCTGCTTCTCAGCAGGCTCCTGGGATGCGCCTGACATTTTCCAGGCGTGGGCTGGACCATCCCAGCTGCCAGACACCCCTTGCTCAGGCACAGAGGAAAGAAAACACCCAGACCCTGGAGGGTGCTTCACAGAGACACCCCAGCTGCAGGGAAGGTGGGATCTTTATTGAAAGTGTAACAGACTCAGCATGGATTCTGCCTGGGTCCTGCAGCTAGGTCCCCAAGGTCACCTCCCCCGCTGCAGAGGCTGATGTGTATGCCATTGTTCGCCAACAACGCAGTGGCTGGAGCAATTCCTGGAGGGGGGACAGGTGGGGAAGAGGCTGGCAGGGGCCTGTTGTGGAGGCTGAAGTGATCTAGGCCCAAGGACTGTGTGCAGGTCAGGCCTCTCCAGGGCTGGTTCTGGTTCCTTCCGACCACATCTCTGCCTCTGTCGCTCATGTGCTCAGCACCAGAAGGTCCTTGGAGGGTAGAACAGAGAACCAGGTGAGCAGGCAGGGTGGCTCTGGTGACATCCTTGGCCAGACACTATCCAGCGAGGGGTTTGTGTTTCTGGACAGCAGAACTCTGAACAGCCGTGATGAATAGGTTCACACGGGCCCTGCTACAGAGGACCTGGGCTGAGACCCTTCCCTCTTTGCCCCTCATCTCCTTCGTTCCCTAAATAAAAAAGAGGCTCTGAGCTCCTCTCTCCAATCTTCCAAAAACCCAGTTTACATCATTTTTAAAACTCTACAATAATGAAAGTAATGAACTGTAATCCATAGAACAAAATAAATATCCATGAGTGCATATTGGTATAAATAATGGACTGAATACAGAAATAAATGGAGGTCAGCTCTTCCTTACAGAAGAATTCCAACTACTAACTGTAAAAGAATCACAGAATCAGAAAGCCCCCACTATGCACGTCACAGGCAGAAGTACTGGAGTTCACCAAAAATAGTGGGAGAAGGGCTGGTGAGAAGCAGGACCTGTGCATAGTCCCAACGTACTCCTTGCAAGACATTTATTAGTGACAAAGGGAAAAATAGTGCCTTTATGGTGGAGAAACGTGGCAGGAACCACCTTAAGCAAGTGATAACAGTGAACCATCACATGGACATCGGGACCTGGATTTAGTATGTGGAGGAAGGCACATACCTCACTTCTGTGATGTTCTTGCCAAAAAAAATGCAACCTCTAATTAAATCATGATGAAACATCAGTCAAATCTACCTTGAGGCACATCCCATAAACAGGCCAGGCTTATGGGAAATGTCAAGGTCATAAAGCACAAGGAGGAGGCGAGGAGCTGTCCAGATGAGTGAACTCTAAGGAGAGGTGACAACAAGATGCAAGCCAGGAGCCTGCACCAGAGCCTGCATGGGACACAGGACACGGCGGACAGCTGGTGGGGGAGCTGTGTGGATTCCTGGCTGTGGGTCAGTGTCTGGGTTTCAGGGACCACACACTGGTTATAGAAGACACTACCATTAGGGGATACTGAGAAAAGCATATTTGGAACAGTCTGTTCTATGTCTTGCAGTTTTCCTCTAGGTTTAAAATCATATCAAAATAAAAATAGAAAATAAATGGCTAGATCCATATAAAAATGACAAGATGAGCAGTCACTATTCACAGGGGCTACAAGGCCAGACCCAGGGCTGAGTTGTTGTGAAAACTTCAGACCCAATGCCCATCTTACATTTTCTTACAGGTACTTGTGCTGTCTCATTTATCATGCTGAAATAAAACTCACAGGTTACCTACTTATACAGATATATTTTAAACTAGTATGTTCTCTTACCAGACTGTTAAGGAGAAATAAAAAACAATTTATAATAAAGTAGTAATATGTTTGAAAATAAAACTCCAGAAAGGTTGGACTAAGTAACCACCACAATGTCCCAAGGTATAGCTGCTGAGATGCATATGTATCTAGGAGGAATCACATGTGTCTCGCTAATCTTTTCTCTATTTTCAACTTTCAGATGCTGAGCTCATGTGGCTTGTCTAGTGGAAACAAGAGACCCTGCCTTTGAACTTCAAGGCCCCTGCCATCATCATAATGAGTCAACTACTTCAGGAATATTTACCCAAGGTCCTGTGTCCCCACTGGGCTGGGGAAGCTTCACGAGGACCAAGACTGTACTTGTTCATTTCTGTATCCCTGTTCTTTTGGCACAGACACAGTAGGTGCTCAGCAGAAGTTCTTTTAATGTACTGTGTCACATTTCCACCCTAGACAGGCCAGTTACTGCTCTGAGCCCCAGCACAGCTGTTAAAAAGAAAGGCCATCAGTCATGGTCAACACAGCCAGGAAGTGTCTGCCTAACCAGCAGACACATTTGCAAGGAGACCGGCCACTTCTGTTAGTCCTTGAGGTCTTTGTCCCTGCCTACAGCACATGCCCTTGCCCCGGCCTCCCTGCTGAGCACAGAGCCTTCCCTTGCCTGAGACTCTTTCCCACATCACCTCCTTGTGAGGCTTCCTGGACCCCAGCCCCATCTGGAAGATGAGGACAGTGACATCTGTGGTTAGCGCTCAATAAGACTGAGGATGTGAGAGTTTCTTTTGGGGATTCCTATCAACTTTGCTCCTGTTCCCTCAGCCCTGCACTTTGAAGGGAGAGGCTCTAGTCCTTCCCTTTCTCATCTTCCCAACGGTTGGCCTGACCTTTTGCAGTGACCAAAGGTGACAGCAAAAGGCAGGAGGGCAGAATTCTATCTTCCCTTACCTCCAAGACATCGATGTCTGCATTGCTGAAGTCGATGTTGAGGATTTTGGGGAGAGGGACCCCAGAACCCAGCACAGCTGTTAAAAAGAAAGGCCATCAGTCATGGTCAACACAGCCAACATGTGTCAGCCTCACCAGCAGCCCCTGTATTTGCAAGGAGACCGGCCACTTCTGTTAGTCCTTGAGGTCTTTGTCCCTGCCTGGGGTTCACGCCCTTGCCCCGGCCTCCCTGCTGAGCATGGAGCCTTCCCTTGCCCGAGACTCTTTCCCACATCACCTCCTTGTGAGGCTTCCTGGACCCCAGCCCTTAGGGTCTACCCCACCCCAACCTCAGCCACTAGGGAAATAAATCACAACGTATGAACTCCCTGTTTGAGCATCTGCTGCCCCTCATCTGTGGTTCCTTGCAGGCAAGGACTGTGTCCCCCACAGAGGGGAAGACATAGGTTTTCTGAGTCAAGGAGACAAAGACGCATGAGGCCCAGCACATGGCCACCATGGATTTGCCTTTTGGTTTCAGGTTGTCTGAGCCTGGGTAGACCTGGTGACTAATGCTCTGAAAGGAGGGAGGGAGGAAAGGAGGGAGGGTGACTGTGAAGGGAGGGGGGTTGATCAAGTGAAGTTAAACAGACTTACTGACTCCCAAGGAGGTTTTAGAGAGCTAAGGGCATCGTGAATCTACCTACAAGGTTATCTTCAGCATTTGCCTGTTCTGACTGACCATGGAACCCTTTCTTCAGGGTATTTGGTGGACTAATGTTTTAGAGGACCCAGTTTGGGAACCACAGATGTAACCCAATCTCTCACTTTTAAAAGCAATGGGCTGCATTTCAGAGAGATGGAAGGACTTTCCCCAAGTGAAAACCACGTCTTAGTGACTAAGCCAGGTTGACAGTCTCAATCTCTTGCTTCCCAGGTCTACCAGCCCAACTCCTGACACCATGTCGCTCCCTGGAGAACATGTGTGGTCTTTGTGACCAGCTCTTTCTCTGCCATAGAGACTCAGTCTCCCCTGCTGATGAGTCCCAAAATAAGGGTCTGTTTGTCATCAAGGTCTCTCCAAAGGTATGACTGGTGACTTCAACTAGGAGTGCCAGCCCCCTCTGTCCTCTCTTCTGTGAAGCAGAGGTGGGGAGATGGAGTTTGGGGCTGAGATCACTAATCATAACGAGGTCTGCCAGCTGCTCAAACAGCCATCTCAGCCTCCAGGTGACCCCCTTACTTCAACAAGGAGCTCTGAGACCACACTCTTGAGACTCCACAGAGAGAATAAAGCATGCGAGTGTAGACCACTTAGAAAGGTGGCAAGGACATCTCCTCACCGATAATGTGGCTGCCCAGGAGGTAGATTCTAGTAAGGAGGTGGGCAATATTGTTCAAGTCAACTTAAGTTTTATCTGCAGATTGAACTTTTTATAGTATGATGAAGTCCCTGTATAATTAAAAATAAATTCACGTTTAAAAAGAAGTCAGGAAATATCTTCACCATAAGAAAAAATGGAGAAATAGAATTTAGAAGGAAATATACCCAAGTATTCAGATCAATTGCCTCTGGGAGGAGGCTTTTTAAAAATTGTTCCAGACTCTAAAATTCATGCACATAGCATTTTCCTAGGCAATCAGGAAAGAAAGCAAAAACAATCAGCTAAACAAGAAAGAGCCAAACAAGCAAATAAGGAGGCTGGTGGACATCTGGGGCCAACATCAGACTATGCTCCATAAATATACACAAGTATTATGTATTAATTAAAAATTAATTTTTAAAATTAATTTTTAAAATTAATTTTTAAAAACAGGAAAAATTTAGATCAATAAGCCTCAAATGAAGTTGTCTGGAATGATATTGAGGTAGCATTCTTTAAAATGTACATCCAAACATGCCCACCAAGCCAGTAGACTCCTTGTCCCCAAGCCCTGTGCCCCCCAAAAGCCATGGACACCCACACTCACCATTCATTGCGGGCATAAATGCCAGGTCAAAAATCTTCTCAACCAGCACCTCCAAGAGGCTCACCTGTGGGGAAAGAATAAAGACTCAATCCAGGCAGGGTGTTCACTCAGCTGGAAAGGGGGCTCTTGGGACCTGCCCCTGGAGCCCAAGGTGAGGACCCCATGTCAGTATGGGAGAGCCTGGGATCTCTGGCCAGCAGAGCCTGAGCCCCAAAATCTCTCAGCTGACAGCCAGTGCACCTATCACTTACAGGAGAGAGGCTAAGGTTCAGACAGTCCAGCCCTGGGGCCAACCCTTTGGAATTCACCCTCTGGCCAGCCCAGCCAGCCTCATAGGAATCCCATTCCCGGTAGATCTTCCCGGTAGATCTTCCTGGTCTCTGTTCCAAGGGGAGCTTTCCTTACTGCGGGGAAATGGTACTTACATCAAAGTTGCCCACATTTGAGGTTCTGAGGTTGAGGTTGGTCCTACAGATAAAGAAAACAGCCCATCAGAAGTGGTGATCCCTAAGAATCACAAGGCATTTGTAGTTCAGCAAACTACCAGAAGCTGTCTACCAACATCCTGAGGAAGACCCATGTCCTGCGGGAGTTCATAAGAACAATGCTGGCTTCCATTTCCTGAGCATTAAGCATGTCACAGACTAGATGCTAAGAGCTTTCCACATAGGCAAGGCTGAAATCCTAACCACTGCCTGTGTGGCGTGCACGGAACCTGCAGTTTCTGCTGCTGTGCTACTCTGAGGGGGAGACCTTGCCTCAAGGTCTTGCTCTGCTCTGTGACAGCCTCAGTCTCACTACACCTGGCTCTCACTGAGAGGCCTCCTGGGAGGCCAGGGGTAGGAAGTTATTGGGGCTGCCCAAGAGGATCAGCTCACTGTCCAGCCAGAGGGACACAAAGGAGCCTCCATTTTGTGTGTATTTTATTCCTTCCTGAATTCTCATTCCTTTCCAAACACCTTCCATCTTTGCTAACTCTGCCCATACCACTCTCCCTGCCGGAAACCCCAGCTCTTCCTGTGGCTGCTCCTTCTCTTCTGGGCCTCTGCATACTGCTGCCACAGAAACTCCTCCTTCCCCCTGACAAATACCATCTCATGACTCGCCGCATTGTTGGGCTCAATAAACATTTGTTGTAAAAAGAAGATCTTACAGTCACTTAAGTCCACACCAAATGCTTGACACATCATCTCATTAATCTTGCAATGGAAATAATGAGTACTTCTTTCCATAGGTTGATGTCAAGAATTAAATGAAGCAACATCTAGAACTTAGCTCAGTGCCTGGCACATAGATGGCATCTAATACATAGTAGCTATTATTTTTATAAATCTTATGAAATAGGAAGCTATTGTCCCCATTTTCAGATGAGAAAAGAGAGTCAGCCAGGTAGTCACTTAGGCAACATCACACAGCCAGTTGGTGGTCACATCAGGATTTGAACCCATACTGCCAGACTCTAAGGCCAGTGCTGGTAGCCACTGCATGCAGCAAGGCACACTGACCTGGGTCAGCTCCCTGACCCTCTCTGTGCTTACTGTGTGGCTTGAGTTAGTAAATCCGCCTCCCTAAGCTGTCAATTCCTCATCTTCAAAGAGGCATCAAAATAGCCCCGACTTTATGGGTCCCTAGGGAGGACACAACATATGACAAGGACCAAGAGCGGAGCCTGGTACAGCACCATCACCAGCATCACGATTACTATGGATGCCACTGCTGCTGGCAGGAAGGTCTTTCTGTTCAGTCCATGGTCTGACCACCAGGGCCAGCTCCTGATGCGGTATTAGCAGGCACAGACCATTTTCGCCTTTGCAGCCCTGACAACCATTCAGGAGGCCTCAAACGCCTCCCTGGCAGCCCTGTAATCCTTCCCTGGATGTGAGCCGGCCACAGCCACAGCCACAGCCACAGCACAGCAGCACCCAAGACACCTTTCTGAGGAGCAGGAACCCAAAGCAGAAAACCCCCTTACTTGTCCAGCTTGGCATCAATCATGAGCTTATCTCCTTCCACAGAAAACGAGGCCAAGAGATCTGTGTCCTGGAGGGAAGGAGAAGGAAAAGGAAATGTCACCGCCCTCAGCCAAGGCTACTGCTGAGGGCTCACTGTGTGCCTGGTGCTGAGCCTGAGTCCAGAAGGCTGTTCCCTGAGGCCTTGGCCACAACTCCTCATACTTGTATAAGCAGGGGCCTTGCAATAGCACTCGTCACGTACTAGATCTCTCCACCAAGGGAAGGGGTCAGCAATAAGAGGCCAACATCAGCTGTTGGCTGCAAGTAAATCACAGAATGGGCTGGGTAAGTAAATAGTTCTCAGGAAGACAAATGTCACAGGATTCCCACGCTTGGCACTGGGGATGTTTACCAAGATCCTCTGAGATGCCTTAGAGAAGAGAGGGAGGTGGCTTGCAGCCTGTGAAGCCTTTTCTTGGTGAGCCATTGCAGGTGGAATTGGGCATCATGGCTGTCAATCATAACTGCCCCATCTCCTAGAAGAAGGCATAAAAGGCACAGCCTCATTCCCTTCTTCCAGCAGAAATTTTGTTGGAAAATTATTTTTGTTTCCTTGGATCACATTTAATTTAATTTAAAAGTTAGCCTTATGAAAATAAAAGCAACCTCCCAACAAGTTCAAAAATGGTATTAGTAACAACAATAACAAAGACTGGCATGATACAGAGGAGCTGGGGTTCTGGGTGCCTGTGGCAAGGCCCTAAACTGGTATCGAAATCATCCTTAAGAAATAGAGTTTGAATGGAGGACTGAAGGATGGGAGTTGACCAAATGAAAAAGAAGGTGAAAAGTAATCCAGGCAGTGGGAAGGGCATGGGCAAGGCCCTTGGGGAAGAAAAGAGGAAAGTAGTAACAGGACAGAGAGACCAGAGAGTGGACTCTATGACGCCAGAGTGGAATGGGGCCAAACCAAGCAGAGCTGTGGGCTCTGCTGCCCTGGGGCAGTGGGAAGTTCTGATGACAGGCTGTCAGCTGGCTCAAAGCCTGGGCTGTTGATGGGAAGTCCTACAATAGGGGCTGATGGGTGAGTGCAGACTGGGTAAGAATTGGTCCTTCTGATCTCTCACCTGATGAGAGGGGGAGAGAAGGCCCCGCACACCGTGGCCAGCCAGAAACACCCACTTCAGACCAGAAGTGGCTCATTTCTTCTCAAAGGAAGGAAGACATAGAAGGGATGAGAGCTTCAAGTGTCTGACCCTGTAGACATACACAGAAGGGATGGCACTTCCCACTTAACATGTGATATGCGTAGTGAGCCCTACCATGTCCTGGGCCTGCGCTACACTCTGAGGATCCCACAGTGAAGGAGATCGCCAAGTCTCTGGCCAGCAACAAACTAACAGATGTGTTTGATAATGTCTGATCAAGCAAAGTAAGGGAGAAAAAGAGAGAGACAGACAGGGACAGAAGAGTAACAGAGTAGGCATTTAAACAAGTGATCTGAGAAGGTCTCTCTGAGGAGGGCCTTTTGAGCAGAGGTCTAAAGAAAATAAGGGAGTAAGCCCTGCAGATATCCGAGGAGGAGCATTCCACACCTAGGAAACAGCACGCGTGAACACCCTGAGGTCAGACCGTGCCCGACACTTTGGGGAGCACAGAAGAGCTGAGAAGTGAGCAGATGACGCCCCTGCAGGACTTTAAGGGTCATTTTCAAGAGACCGGCTTCTTGTTGAGGACTGAAGGAAAGGAGGGGAGTAATATAATTCACATTTTAAATGGATTCCTCTAGAATAACTTCTAGCATCCTATTGCACAGTAGGGTGACTATGGTTAACAATTGTGTGTTATACATTGCCAAAAAGCCAAAAGAAAGAACTTTCGGTGTTTTCACAACAAAGAAAAAAGTTTGAAGGGATAGATATGCTAATTACCCTGATTTAATCACTACACATTGTACACATGTTCTGAAAAATCTCATGGTATCCTAAATCTAGGCACAATTATTATGCATCAATTCAAAATGTAAAGAAAGAAGATTCTTTTCCATGAAATAATTGTGGAAATTGGTGTTTGTGTGTCTGTCCATGGTTAGGCACCATGGACAAGGAAGCAGGTACCTTCTGTCTTGTTTCTCTTTTCCTTGCATCCAGTAGGAAGTCTAATCCCAGTAGGAAGTAGTTATCCAATACATATTGCGAATGAATGACCTGGGTCAACCCCATCGTGCCCCGTGGTATACAACCCATGAGAATGACAACAGCCAATGCTTCGGGAACCTTTACAGTACATCCAATACGGCTCTAAGCATCTTATTAATACTCATGACCTATGGCCAAACCCTTGTAGTAGAGGACAAAGCAGGCCCAGAGACAGGGAGTGACCTGCCCAAGGTCACACAGCTAGAAATGGTAAAGACTGGGTGTGAATCATTTTCTGGCATGGAAGATGGACAAGCAGTCACCATGGTAGAGATTGTGGGGATCTGAAGGGGTATGAGGGCTTCAGGAGACCACGCGATTGTTTTGAAGCACAGCTGGGGAGCCAACAGCACCCCAGACACTTACCACGTCAATGAGGCAAATGGTGGTCTCAACGTCATTGGGCTGGGAGACCACGACCTCGGAGGTGGCAAACACCTTCACCAGTGCCTGGTCCTTCTGCAGGGTCACTGAGGGCGGGTCGGGGACCTGGATCTTGATAGTGAGCGGACGGGACTCAGGGTACTGCTGGAACACCTGCAGGTGGGCACGCAGCCAAGTGAGTGGGGCCCTTGGCCAGAGGGCTGTCAACCAATCTCCAAAGCCAGAGCCCAGGGCCTCCCTGGGTGGCTTCAGATCCAACATTTCTGGAGTGCTACAGGCCACAGGCAAAGCCAGCGGCCCGCTGTGGTACCAGGGGAGAGGATGCAGTCTCGGACCATTTGCAGGGCTGTTGTAGGAACTGAGTGTGACAGTGCTGACAGAGGGCCGGGCTCAAGCTTGACACATGAAGGCTCAGGCCCGGCACTGAGCCAGCTGGGGTCTCACGGGCTGCTGGCCCAGGACCTGAGGGACAGTCTTGACAACTCTTGAGATACTGTTTCTCCAGGCTGAAAATGAGAAGACTGAGGCGCAGAGGGGAATGTCAACCAAGACGTCCAAGGCCAACAGGGAGGCTGAGGCTCCAGCCCAGGTCTGTGCAACACGGAGCCCCAGCCCTTTGCCATCCTTCCTACAGTGACAAAGTCCACCCTTCTGGGTATCTCATGCGATGTCCCCGAGAAAAGCCCAGCCCCCCATCCTACCTGAATTCACCAGGTATCCTGAGACCCACAGGGAAGGGAATGGACCCTGCTTGCTGCACACTAATCCCCAAACCTAGTCTGCTAAAGACACCAAATGACCAGTTTGTCACATTTACTGATAATGGATTCACCATGCAACTGATTTTAAGGGTCTTCTTCTTAAATATATTAAATGAGTAGAAAAAAGCCCATTTGGAGGAAAATTCACCATGGGCAATGCTGCAGCCCAGGGCCTGGCCCTGAGACTTCGTTCATGTTCCTCAATTCTTTTGTATAAGCTCTTGGCCAGAGTAAAAACCTTGTAAGTTCAGTCATTTGATCACACCATGAATTCACCCTTTGGCAGACTGGCTGTCAACAAGTCAATTATTTGACAAATTGGCCTTTCCTAGGGTGATTTTCAGTACTTCCTGGGAGGCACCTGGCGTCCCAACCATTGCAGCCAGAGCAAGCAGTCTCACCCGCTTCACAGAGACCCCACATCACCCAGAACTGTCCCCAGAGCAATCACCCCCTCAGCCCCAGAGCTGGCCAAGCTCTCCGGGGGGCTCTCCCTGGCCTGGGTCCCCAAGACACACGCCTCCGTGTCCAGCCTGAACCCACTGAGGCTGACCTACAGCTGTGCCAAGGCCTGAGTCCCTGCTCTAGCCCAGCTCTGCCTCTGAGCCTCTGTTTCCCCATCTGTAAAATGGGGTGCTTGTCACTCCTTGCCTTGTGGGAGGGAACTGTTAGAAACAAATGAAAGGGTGGATTTTAAGAAAATTTTATAAGCTGTAAATGCAGTGTGCACAGGAAGTGATCCAATAAATAAAAAGTTCAGGGACGAAGGGATCCCCCAACCTCCTGGAGCAGCCCCTGCTTATGGTACTTGAGAATGGTACAACTGCCGTTCTGCTCTTGGACACATGAGGGCGGTAGCGACCAGGTGTTGAATTTGACTCTGCTCCTGTTTCTGAATTTGAGGCAGGAGACAGGGAAAGTGGAAAAAAGGCAGAAATGCCCAAAACGTCTGTGGATGCCACCATCCTTCGCTCTGAGAATACTTCCTGCACGAAGATCTCTGCCACGGAATGCAGGACCACGGGCGCTGAGCCAGTGCTGGCATTAGAAAGGCCTTTGTGCCATCTCCACATGGCCACTAAGAGTGCATGTGTTCTAATTTTTCTTTTAATTTGTAATTATCAGCAACAATAATACAGTTAAATTTTCCAAATGTCTGCTCTGTGCCTGGATTCCAGATCCAGGTCCACAGCCACCCTAAAGAGTGAGCATGACTGTCCCCATTTTCCGGATGAGAAATCAGAGGCTCAGAGTGATAGGGCTATTTGTGTATGGTAATATGACTAGGGTGTGCCATATCTTCATCTCCAAGGATCTAGCTCCACCCCTCAAAGTCCCACACGTCTGTGTGCCTGGCCCTGTGCTGCCCTCTTCCTGCACCATCCCCTCCACCCTCCCAGATCACCTGAGCCCATGGGACTGTGTTAGCATGGCTTCACTGACCAACAAGGACACTAGGGTTCAGAGATGTTAGGACTTGTGTCAAAGTCACACAGCAAAGGAGTGTGACTAATCCTGGGCCAGGATTAGACCTGCACAGGCTGGTCCACTGCCAGAGTTCGGAGTCTGTCCACCTCCCTCCCTCTGTGGGCCCCTCCCACGCGGGGTCTGTTCTCCACACCTGTGTCACTGCACCTGCTGGGAAGCAGGTGAGAGCCATCACCCATGTTGAGCATCTTTCCTTCCAACCAGCTCAAGGGAGTGAGGCGGAGACAACGGCGCTGCCCGCCTTACTTACGCACCTTGGGAATCAGGGCTCCCAGCGTGGACGTGGTGAGTGGAGGAAGCTCATCAAACTGTGGGACAAGGACAAGGGTCGTGTGAGTGAGGAGGTACAGAGGCACAGCCGTCAGCCTGCTGCATGCTGAGTCACCAGTAGGGCACCTTGTCCCCTGAGTGGCCCGTGGGGAGGCTCCACCTCCCAACAGCGGCCACTGTGTGGCCAAGAGGGTGCCTGCAGCTTCACGGGCCTGACTTGAAGAACAGGAGGAAGAGCCTGGCATTTCTTCTGTACAATGTAACTCTTTATTAAAGCAAGGCACACATCCTCCAGTCCATTTCACAAACCAGTGTCCACCAAACCCTTGACTTCTGCCATGTCCCCAAACCACTCGTACTGTGTCTCCTTGTTGTTTTCTACAAAGTGACTCATTTGTTAAGACCTAAGACACTAAAACAATGGAAAGCCAGCCCCTCTTGGCAACCATAAAATCAATGAGATGTGACGAAGCATCCCCACTACCTCCTGCATGGCTATCACTGCCTGTGGAGTCACCAGCTGACAAGCGCTGCTGTCCCTCAATTAAAAAAGGGGGTACATGACAAAGTAATAGGAGAATAACAATAGTTAGTACACTGTGTATTGTTATCTTCAAAGTAGTTACTAATTTTATTTTATTTTTTCCATAAAATAAAATTTTTTAAAAGAGAGCTGCTTCAAACTGTAACAGGGCTAACTAAATCCTGGCACTAAATGGATACGTTCTCCTTGGTGGAGTTCAAGACTGACATAATTTGTGTGATGCCCTTACGGAGAACATTTCATTCTTGAGAGAATCGGTGAAGTTTATGGGGCAAAACATCATGAGCAAAACGTCAGGTGGGATGGGTAGAGGGAGGGAGATGGATGGATGAGTGGATGGATGGGCAGGTAGATGGATAGAGGGTGGAAGGAGGGAAGGAAGGAGCAGTGAATCAATGGATGGATGGAGGTGTAGGTGAGCAAGTGGATGGAAAAATGGATGGGTGGATGCTGGGTAAATGATGGGTGGATGGATGGAAGGATAGATCGGTAAGAAGATAGATGATAGATAGATGATACATACATAGATACATAAATGATAGATAGATAGATAGATAGATAGATAGATAGATAGATAGATAGATAGGAACTAGTGCATCTGGGTAAAGTGTATGTGCGCATGAGTTGTGCTATTCTGCAACTTTTCTGAAGGCTTAAAAGTTTTCAAAAGAGTTCAGAGAAAAAAATGACTGGAGCCCATGTCAGGGTGGTATTATGTTCCTAAGTTACCTTTCCATGTGTGTGGCACTGGGGATTGGACCCAGGGCCTTCACACTGAACTTACATCCACACAGTCCTTTTTTATTCTTTTATTTTGAGGCAGGGTCTTGCTAAATGACTAAGTTGCCCAGACTGGGCTCGAACTCACAATCCTCCTGCCTCAGCCTCCCACATATGTGCCACCATGCCTAGCTTCTTATGTATCTTTTAATTACTTATATACTTGGTATTCACTTTCCAAGTAGAAGGATTCTAAATACTTATATTGAGGTACAGATAAGTGAGTATATGTTATTTTTTTTTAAAGGATTGAGATAAAATCCAAGACTTGAATAAGAGCAACATGTGTCTTGTGATGGGACGCTGTTTAGCATCAAGTCTGTGAGCCCAGTGGAAGCCCCTGAGCACCAGCTTTGGGCAACTGGACGTGACTGGCGCAACCTCTGGGACCTGGAGATGGGCCAAAGTGGCCGCCCCCAGCTGGGGACTGCAGAGGGTCGGCAGAAGCCCAGCACTCACCATGCCGTCAGTGATGTCGATGTTCAGTGCCCCTTCCTTCTGCAGCATGCTCAGCACCTTGCCCAGGAAGTTAGCCGAGATGCCCAGCTGGGAGTTGGTGTTGTCACCCATGGGGGGCAGCTCCGGCATCTGTGGCCTGGGGGACATGGCAGGCCTGCCCAGGGGGTAGTCGATGAGATCTCCTCCTGCTTCCGAAACCAAAGTCTGCGGTGGCAGAGGAAGGGGTCGTGGGGGGCAGGGAGGAGGGAGGAGGGAGGCTGAAGTGAGGCCGGAGCGAGGGTCTGGGCGCCTCCTTTTTGTGGCCCCAGCTCTACTTCGGGTTGTGACGGAAGGGACCGCTCACACCTTCTGTGCATCCCTGGCACAGCTTCTCCGCTGTGCGTGCTGGCGCTTCTGTAGGGGACACACTGGCACGTCCCCTTGTCAGGGCCACAGTCCTGGTGACAGCCCACAGAGCTCTGTGGACTCTGTCCCAGGGCCACCTGGGCCCCATCACAGTCCCTCAGCTGGCACCTGCCCTCTGCAGTACAGCGACTAGGACCCTGTCAGTCCTCACCCCTCACCACCTCACCTTCGCCAAAGCTGCTCCAAGAGCAAGGGTCACCCCCCGAGGAAGCGCTCCTGAACTGGGGGATCCCACCCCTGTGATTCTGGCTCTCGGACAGCGCTGGACGGATCACTGCATATTTATTCCAGTGAATCTTTGCGGCCTGGTCCCTCCAGCTGATCAGCATCCCCCAGGGTTGACTGTCGGGCTCACTGCTACTCTCCCAGCTCCCAGCCCAGGCAGGGCACCCAGCAGGGCCTAGGGGTCTGCTCTGGGGAGTGGGTGTTTGTGAACGCGTTACGTGTGTGTGTGTGTGTGTGTGTGTGTGTGTGTGTGTGTGTGCATGGCAGGTGCCTGGTGCAGGTGCGTATTCAGCCCCCATAGCAGGTCCCGGGGCCCTTGGAGCACTGATTCCAACTCACGTGTCTCTTCCCAAGCTCACTTTGAGTGCCGCTGCGCTGGCGGGTGGAAAGCGGCCATGGCAGAGTGTTTATGCCATGGAAATTGCCAAATGCTGCCAATCAGGACTTATTTTTAACTGTAGAAATCCAGTTGTTAAAGTGCACACCAGCCAAACCAGCCCGTAGCGGCAGTTCCAGAGTCGGAAGCTGACTCATGTGGGTTCAGACCCCAGGTTCACATTGACTAGACCTGGGAGAGTGGTTTAGTCCCTCTGTGCCCCTGTTTCCTCAATAAGCATGCCCCCCTCATGCTGTGGTTTTGGGACAGACTGACTGAACCTCCAGGAAGAGCTTACAATGTGCCTGGCGCTCACTGAGCACTGGCGAGTGTCAGCTAGGACTGTATTTCTTGACAGGATTCCTACAGGTCTTAGTCTAGTAGGAAAAGGCCCCTGTTCCCATGTTGCCACCCTCACCCCTCCCAGCCCAAGACACAGGACTCACATTGAGGTCCAGCTCCAGGAACTCGCCGGTCACCAGCGGGAGGCTGGAGAATGTATACTGCACACTTCCCAGGATGCCCAGCGGAATCAGAGCTGTGGGCAAAGGGGAGGTCACAGGCTGTGCCCTCGGCTGCCCAGACACCTTCCCTCCCTGTGCCATCTTAGAGAAGAGGAAGCTGCTGAACTTCTGAGTGCACAGCTGCCAGGGCAGAGCCAGCTCACACCCCGCTCCCCCAGGCCAGGTGGGATGTTTAGGGGCAGAAGGAAAGAGCAGGTGGGCATGCCTGCCACCCGCACCATGCAGGACCCTCCTCCCAGACATTGCTGTATCCCCAAGCCTGGCCCAAGCAGCCATTAGCAACATTCGCCCAGTGCTGCCAAGCAGGAAGGACTTACAGTCCACGAGACCCAGCTGGTCATTGACAAGACCCAGCACCACGTCCACGATGGGGCAGAGCTGCGGGGAGAAATGTCATGGGTCAGATGGTGCTGCAGGGAGTCCGGAAGGGGATGCGCCCACAGCAGCAAGGGCAGCTCATGACTGATGACTGTTCTGTGCCAGGCTGTGTCCTCACCTTGGCCCCATGGGGAGCCTCTGTCACAATCCCTATCCTAGAGATGGGGAACGGAGATGCAGGAAAGCAGTGTGACTTGTCACAGGGCTCAGAAGAGTCAAAGCTGAGAGTGGAACCCAGAGCAGCGTGAAGCTCAGCCACCTCCCCCTTTCCCTCTGCCATCTGTCCCTCCATGTCTCCGAGCCCTTCCCAGACCCCAAGAACCTGTCCTGACCCTGGCCCTGTCTTTCTGCATGCCCCTCAGGATAAAGGCAGGACTGTGGTCCTTCCCACCCGCTCTTACCAAGTCGGGGAGCACATTGGCCAGGACTCGGTTTACTAAGTTGTCCACAAGGTTGGGGAGAAGTCTAGGGAGAGAAGGGCAGGCTGAGTATAACAGAAAGTGTCCCCTGCCAGTATACTTCTGTTTCTTAGTTGCCCAGGTAATGGTTCCTGTTGCAGTGCCGGTTGCCTCTGTCTCCTAGAAACGGCTGGTCGCTATGATGCATAGCTGGTCACTATGATGCATATTGTAAGAAGCAATCAAAGACAGTCAAATACCCTACCTCTGACCTCCCCTTGGCAGTCCCACAAAAACCTCCCTCCCTGGGCCTTTGGACCTGATAGTTTGGGAATGATCCTGATTGGTGCCTGTTGATGTAAAATAAATCTGCCTCCAAATTCTGGGTGTTGTTTCAATGTTTCTGCTTGCTATTGCACTTGGTGCATCAGCCAGGAAGATGAAGCACGCTGACCTTTTTGGTCACCAGTTGTGGCCCTTGTGAATATTCAGGGCACAGCTATTTTTTCCCTTCTGTGAGATTATCCAATGGATGCATGGGGTCATGTGTGAAATGACATCTACAAAAGGTTATTTGTTGCCGCAGCAGCAGATTAGACACACTGAAATGCCCAGCTGTAGGGTTTATCCAGAGGATGGAGCATTACACAGCTGTGAACAGTTAAACAAGGGTGTGTTCAGTGTTTGGACACAGAGAATTCCCTGATGGAGTTAGCAAAAAGCAAAGTACAGAGCAGAGTTGAGAGCAGGTGCCCATTTGCAAAAAGGGAATGGGACTGAAAATCGACACTCTTATTTGCTGCATTTAAACAAGGAAATTGGAAGGAGAACTAGGAACCGAATGACCACGATGGGCTGGGGGAAGGGGCAGGAGGACAGAGAAGAAGGGACAGCTTCACTCTGTGCCTGTTTGTCTTTAATTATGTTACTGTCAAATATATTTCGAGTGAAAATGTGAACTTGAAAGTCTGTGAGACTTCTATGTTTTGAACCCCAGGGCCCAGTTTTCTCTGCCCCCATCCCCCTTGAAGCAGAAACAAAGACAGGGAGAAGCCCGCACGAGTCACACAGCCTGGGTTCAACATCGCATGGAGCTTTTCTGCTGCCCAAGTCTTGATAAGAGCAGGGCGGCAGCACTGGGCTAAGGAACTGATAAGACAGGAGGGAAAGCGGGGACAGTGACCCCACAGAGAGGCTGGAGAAGCATCCCCCATGCTGGGAGAAAGGGGCTTGGCCCTCAGATGTCCTGAACATGTGTTATTCCAACCGCCACCTGGCGACAGGGTGCTGGCCAGTGTACGGACACTCGAAACCTCTCTGGACAGAAGTGGGGTCTTGGTCACTTTGTAGGGAATGTATAATAGAAATATACCTGACCAGGGGTGCCTTGGACAGCAGAGCTGAGAAATGGCCCCATGGGGTGGGACACTGAAGGACAGATAACTGCTCTGAGACATGTGCTGTCATTTAGATCTAGTATGTCCCCCAAAAGTCTCGCGTGTTCAGCAGCGGGGCCAGGAAGATGATTGGATCGTGGATCACCGTACTCAGCAGTGGATTAATCCACTGAGGAGCTCAGTCACTAAATGTGCTGTTCGGAGGTGGGGTCTGGAAGGCCCCATTTTTGTCCTGGCCCCTCCCTCCTCTCTCTCTGCTTCCTGGCTGCCTTGCAGATTTCCTCCACCACGCTGTGTCTGCCTTGGAGCCAGCCCACCATGGGCTGAATCCCCAAAACGTGAGCCAAGTTAACCTTCCTCTCCTTTAAGTTGTGGGGGTGTCGGGTATTGTGTCCTAGTCACAGCAAAGCTAGCTAATGCAACATATATTTATAAACTCTTACATCAGGCAGTTTATGCACTTAGAGCTTTACATTCATCATCTCAATTACCAAGGAAACAAGAATTTATCTTCATTTCACAGAGGGGGAATCTGGAGCCCAAAGAGGGCAACAGAGTTGTCCAAAGTCAAGGAGCAATAAAGAATAAAGCAGAGCCCTAACTCCCAGGTATCCTCCTGGCCACACGGCTGAAGGCCTGTTCAGAGGCCTGGAGCTGGGTGTGTCATAACCATTCCCCAAGTTGGCTGAAGCCTGTATCTTGGGTTCAAAAGCACAGCCCATGAATTCCCATCAGGCACATGCCAGGCCAGGGCCAGGGGAGAGTGTGAACGGCCCTGTCTGGGTCCTCACTGCTCCCCGGTTTCGGCTCTCCCAGCCCAGGACACAGGGAGAGGAGAGGCACCATTCTGTTTGCCAGAGACAGATGTTCCAGCATTGCCCACGGCACTCCCTGCTGGCTGGACTCACCCTCGCAGCAGCTTGACTTTGATGCCCCCGAGCAGGGTGTCACACCTCTCGATCACCAGCCGTGGATAACCGGTGCGGTCCATGGTCAGCCGGACCTTGGCTGAGATGTTCACCTCCACTGAGATGTCCAGGAAGCCAACGAGACTGAAGGAGACCAAGGGGCCAGGAGGACAGTGAGTCACAGGCCAGCCACCAAGCCTGCCGGCATCTCTCAGCTCAGGCTTTAGCCCTGGCTGTCCCTGTCAGCCATCATGCCCCTTGCTCATCTCTGAGCAGGCTGAGACCAGAGATCTGCATACACCCTGGTTTCCAAGATAACCATCCAATCACCTTACTTTGGAGACATGACCTCATCCTTGGGGACTGACTGATGGAAAAGCCCACCTCTGAGGTCCTCCAGGAAGCACCTACTGCAAGGGAGACTCTCTGAGGGTGGGAGGGGGTGGCCTTACAGCCCAGTACAGGTGAAGACACTAAGGTTCAGTGACACTGGAAGTCTGATCCAAGGTCATGCAGCTTATAGGAGTCAGGAATCAAGCCCCGGTTCGCCCTCGGCTCCCATCCCCGAACACGCTAGGCTGCCTTTGCAGGACAGTGACTGCAGGGTGCCTTCACTTCCCCACATGATGGATGCAGAGACCAGGTGTGGTGAGGGGAGGTGACTTGCCCGAGCTCTCCCTGTGGGGACACAGCGGCAAGAACACATACCTCTTCCCGTTGATGGCCACGCGGGTGTACAGGTTCAGGTAAACACCCACACCGGGCAGGAGCCGCACCGACACCCGGGGCAGGGTCAGCTCCACGATGCGCAGCCTGCACAGGGTGACAGCCGTGTGACCTGAGGCCCCACTGCCACGGCTCGCCGCAGCACCCTACCTCACACCCCTGTTCTGCTCCTCCTGCATACCCCTGATGCTAAGAGACCTGCGGTTCCCGGGCAGCTCATGGAATCTGAGGAGAAGCTCAGGCCCATCACCCAGGGACCCACTGTGCCTGTTTCCACACCAAGGTGCCGTTCCCGCTGCTTGCCCCTGCCTGTGTGAGGCTCCTCCTGCCCAGGCTTCAGACCGCAGCTGAGCTCCCCCTCCAGGAAGCCCCTCAGCCTCTGGGGGGTGAGCTCACTTATCCCCCAGGCCTCCATGCCTGTTGTGACTGGCCGCTTTCTGCAGGCTCCGTCACCCAAGCCCATACAACCCACCAGCCCACAAGCCCCTCTGGCCCGGGCTAACCCCTGGGTCTGCCCCTGTGCCCACACAGTGTCCCTCACATAGTAGAAGTTCTACATATTTAATTAAATGTCTCTGAGAAGGAGCCTGGGTGTGGCTGAATATATCACATATACACCACACGTGTGATTAATTTTAAATACTCGGGATTTTCTGCTGAACCACATTACTATGGCCATTCTACATGTGAGGAAGCTGAGGCTGGAGAAATGGAGAAGCTAGCGCCAAGTCACACGCAACTACCTAACATACATTTGGGCTCAGACGCTGCACTATTTCCTGCCAAGAACCCAAACTGTGTAAAGTGGGTCTCTGTGATGTCCAGGCCCAAGGTCCCTCCCAGAGGATGCCCCCACATTTGTTGGTTCAGGGGAACTTGATAGGAAACGCAGCAGCCTTACCCCGTGATGCCCTGCACGGTGCTGAGGAGGCCGCCTTCGCCAAGCACCCCCAGGACACCGCCGCCTCCGAGCAGGCCTCCGTCGCCGAGGAGACCACCTCCGCCGAGCAGGCCGCCTTGGCCCGCCAGGATGCCCTCATTGGCCAGCACGCCGCCAGCGCCCAGCAAGCCGCCCGGGCCCAGCGCCCCGGTGGCCACCCCCGGAGGGAT